AACACACAGAGGTGCGCCGGCCCTATATTGAGCATTCCACAGACACCGACCACCTCATCAGAAGGGTCTCCGTGTTAAAAATGAAAATGAAGTTTTGTCTTGTCGTCGTCGCCTTAATCATCGGTTTAAGTCTGCCACTCCGTGTATAATGCGCGTAATTATAGCTTTGTACGTACGCATACGTAATCTTCCATTTATTTCTAAATGTAGTTTGTTATTTGGAAGTTAAGTGCATGCCTTCTGCATTCAGTTAAATTCTATCTTCTCCTGAAAACGTCCTTTTGAGTGCTTAGACAAATATTACCTTAATTACGTTTTTAAGAAAATCTACATTAACGTCAACACATTCTCGTTTAAGACCTGGTTTTAGAAATAATTCCGTCGATATAATACAGTCAACCTTGAAACACAGTCTCTTAATTGGTCTAGAAATACCATAGGTCCATTGCCGTGTACACAGGAGCTAGTCACTGGTCCCTGCTTTGAGCTAGATGAATCCAATCCACATTCTTATCATGTTTCTTTAAAATTGGTTTTAATGTTATATTCTTAACAATATTCGTGTCTCTGAAGTCATTTTTTTTTCACGTTTTTCCGACCAAAAATGTTCTATTCCATGCGTGCTACATGTCTCACTTATTTCATTCTCCTTAATTTGATCATTCTAATAGCATTTGGCTAAGAGTGTTCAATGAATCAAAACTCTCAGTATCAGCACTAGTAGTAATGGTGGCGGTATGTACTTCGTAAAAGGCCTGTCTAATTTGCGTACTTAAATTTAAACTTCTTGTATCACGTAAAAGTAATCAAATTATGAACAGCATAGCGTAACATATTTTATGAGCTTTTACGTCTACGAATGGACGTAGCGACCTCGTAGTCAGGGTTTTGCATGTAATTGCGTGGGCACCTGTTCGCCTGGGTGTTGGAGTCATCACGGAGGATTCCCCAGGGACGCGTCACGTGTTTTAGTCGTAGCTTGTCAGGCAAAGATTCCCCCCACTCACACACGCGTAATGTTGTAATGTTCGATATTTTTGTCAGATTTTAAGTGATCTTCGAGTGTCCACAAAGTTTAGTAAGGGTCTTCAGTGTTAAATTTAATAAAAACCTGTTGAGTGCTGTCGAGTTGTATGTCAAAGCTTCGCAAACTACATGTAACCCTGTTTACGCTGTTGCCATGGTAACTTGGTTTCCGCTAATTAACTGTTTGTGATATTGCCCTGGACAGAATTATGGAATCGAAACGTAATTGTGGAGGAAATAATGTAGCAAAGGAAAGCTGTGAAAAATGTCAGATCGCTAAACACAGTCGTCCTTAAGATTAATTGACGTCGATTAAACGGTACAAACGACACGAGTGAAAGGACTCGAAAGGTGATTTGGGGACTTAAGTAAAATGACCTTTAAAGTAAATTACTATGTCTTAAACGTATGCTGCTTGATAATAAGTCACTCGTATGCTATAATAGAAGAGTCGTGTTTCGAAGTTCATCAGAATATGTTCAGGTCTAAAAAAATATATGTCAGACAGTGGGAAATCGAATTTGTAAATTTGGAAAACAGCAGATTATGAAGACTTCCTTTCTAATTCCTGTAACGTAAAACGAGTTAGACACATCTACGCGGCTTCACATGGTAGACTCAACAGTAAATTCTACGTTATAGTCTGTGATGTACAAAGGAATTCCTGTTTTGTGAATTTTTATTAAATTTTTGCCTTGAAGCCCACAGTAACAAAACTTCTGTTCATAAACAATGCTTGAAGTTCAATATTTATTAGATAAATAAAGTAACCTATGGACTATCGATTGTAACATACTTCTCTGATATGGGATTCGCATTTGTTTTGCTAGAAGATTTGATATCAACTGAGTACGATTTGAGGTTCTCAGCGGTGAGTCTTTTGAGTTGTACCGCCGTGTAGTCTGACAAAAGTTTACCACTGTTTCGGAGGTCCTAGCTGCTTCTATCATCAGGGTAAATGTTGGTAAACATGTACCAGACTACGCGGCGCTATAGAGGTCATCTTCAGGTTTCTTACTGGTATTGTTGAGAAGACAGTTTGTATGAGCTCGTGCGAGAAATAATGCAAAACATTGTAGAAGCTTCGAAAGCTGTTGTGATCGCTTTGACGTGTGCTGGATGTCGCAACTCGCGACTTCCTTCTTAATATCTGGAAGGGAGTACCATGAGTGAAAAGTGTTGCTCGCTGGCTTGCGGGGAAGGTTATATCTATGGTTAAAGGAAGTGTCAGACCAGTGGCGGAGAGAGAGAGAGAGAGAGAGAGAGAGAGAGAGAGAGGGAAAGTTGTTTTCTGGGAGATAGTACGCCACGCTGAAGGATGAGTCTTACTTCAGCAACAATGCGTTTTGTTTGAATAGACGAGAAACATGAAGATTACGCAAATTAAACAACGCTGATCCAATTACGAACTTACCGACAGACATGCAATTGTTTCCGACTGCATATTAACGTAGAACTGAAATGAAATTTTGCGAACGTCAGATGACTTACAATTTCGGAAATCTGAAGTACTAAGACATTTCGTTTCAAACTAACCACCGGTTTTTTGCCTTGCGGAAAGTGGAAATCATCCCCACTGGACCTCGCTAAACGATATGTGAAGGCTTTTCACCTGTTTAATAAAACAGTAGGAATCTTTTTTCGACGTAAATACGTCTATACGGAAGGGTCATTCGGCAAACAAGTGAAAGGAAAATGTGAAAGGAAAGCGTGTAAGATCCATATCAACAAATCGACGACAATGGTTACCTATGGAACGTCGTGTTTACTCGGCATTGTTGTTACCTAGGAAAACGTGTAAGATCCATTTCAACAAATCGACGACAATGGTTACCTATGGAACGTCGTGTTTACTCGGCATTGTTGTTACCTAGGAAAACGTGTAAGATCCATTTCAACAAATCGACGACAATGGTTACCTATGGAACGTCGTGTTTACTCGGCATTGTTGTTACCTAGGAAAACGTGTAAGATCCATTTCAACAAATCGACGACAATGGTTACCTATGGAACGTCGTGTTTACTCGGCATTGTTGTTACCTAGGAAAACGTGTAAGATCCATATCAATAATGTGTTAATATGGATCGACAACAATGGTCAGCTTGCGTGCATTGTTATGGTACCTAGGAAAAGTCATCTGTTTACTTGGCATTGTTGTAATTAAAGATAATATATAAACTTCCTTTCCGTATAGACGTATTTACGTCAGATTCTCCGGAACCGTGGTTCCACTGTCAACTTATTATTTACAACTGGTGTAATTTTTTTTTATTTTCGTGTTATGTGTGTGTGAAGTGTGCTTAACATCAGATGGTACTGTAACACTTCTATATTTCATTTAGCGACAAGTTCTCCTTTGTAAAGCAGTAGAGAGGGGATCTTTGTATCAGATGTCCAAAAAATCAGGACTGTTACTTCGATTTTGCACTGATGAAATCCATCAGCTTAAGTGGCTACTGGAAGCTTCTCCCGTGCAGTGGGTGCTGATAAACCTACCTGCACCACACGCCATCTGGTGCTTAGAACGACGTCTGCTACGCGAAGTGATTATTGTCAGCATTCTTTAAACAGAAATGCACCAAAATAACTAATGTTTCCTGCAGCGATAAAGCTTATCATTACAGGGATTTTATAAAAAAAAATCAACAGAGCCTAAAACCCACTGCAGAGTGCGTAGATAAGCGGATGGATTTGCCTACATGAAGTTGTTCTTTTGTGGTCTGTTTGAAAATGTTTGTGAAACATTTTAAAAGTGTTTTGTAAAAGATCTGTAGCTATTTTGTTCGTAATGAATGTTGATTTTTTGAAGAATACACTTAATCCGATTTGTAAGGCATCGTTTACATTAATATTTTGGTTGGTTGGAGGAAAATCTCGAAGATCTATCTGGGTTTGAACCCATTCCGTTGAGTCTGCATTCCTGTCACAAAGTTGGCTAAGTTATCGTGGCTTACAGAGAGACATACGAACGGAGTACGAGTCTAAGTGGAGTTGCTTTTAAGTTTTAAGCGTAGTGGACCACGTACAGTGCCTATAATCACCACAGAACCAAGGGAAAGTTCTACTAGCCGATTGGAAACACTCGGAATCAGTATTAATCTGTTTACTTTGTTCTCGACAAAGACGTACGTTACTTCCACGAGAAAGTCTTTAAAATGTACAATCGTTGCTTACCCTTGTTTCTAGGATGAAATTCTAGGTCGCCGGAAATGATAAATGCAGACCTAATTTACGCATAGAAAATATCTCGTTAGATGACATCCCTGTCTGACGTCAATGACCGCCACTAGATTTTGTAATTTATGCATTGCAGGTAATAGGTAATTAAGAGATGAAAAATACGGAATTTTGGTCGAAAAACCCGCAGAGAAAATATTACTCGTGAGGCGCGTAGAAGGGAGTATAATACTAAAATTGATCTTAGATAAATAAGGACGAAATAAGACTGGTAAATAAACAAATAAAAAGACATATTTTAGTCGTGAAGATGTAACTCAGACGTAGAAACGGTGAGTGTGAAGAATTATATGAATTGGTAGCGATGAACTTTGGTTAACAAAGTCCAAGACATGATTTTTAAGCCGTCTTTGCAATTCGTATTTGAGAAATGTTGTCACATTCCCATTGCGTAACCAAATCAGGGACTGAGGCGTCTGCTTACCTAGATATGCAACGTTGTGTTTGCAGTAACATTTCTCTCTGTACTGCACAAATTCGCTTCGAAAGTGTTACCACGTCTCCTGCCTTCAAGTGGCGCTAACGATAATCTAAGCACATTCATGAACGAATGTTCTTAACTGGCTGCTAACGAAACGAAACCTTGGAACACTCTCGCACTCACGGTTGTCGGTTGTCTTAGACCCACAGCGCCTGCAACCAGCAATTGTTTTACTTTTAGAAGCTGAAATTAGCGTATCTACGTAATAAAGAATCGACA